AGCAGGAGCTAAAACTCGCGAGAAAACATTGCGAGATAGGAGGATGGCGGCTACTGTGATCAGACAGAACCAGGGTCTTGTACTCCTGATGATATCACTTGATTATCTTCTCTATGGCATGCCTCCGTGCCGCTTCTCATCGCCTCTCTCCTGCGCGCGCGCGTCGAGCTTCACGGCTATGCACCGGAGTGCTAGGAGCAGCGGCTGACACGGGTGAGCGCCCGGGTTAGCGCGATAGGCTCGGAAATTATGCTCAGTGCTATTCCAGGTCTACTCTTTTTTGGTCTTGATTGTACGTTGATCTCTAATTATGAAAAGACTGCGCCGAGAAAAATAAAAATAAACGTGGGTCTGTATTTGAATAAATACGGTATAGTCGAGGCAGTCCCCGTGCAGCTGTCGGTCGAAAATGCAGAGAACTTAGACTTCACTCTGGTTCCAACGCCACCGAAAAGCAGTCACTTTCAAAGCGCACATGTAGGTTTTCACAATATTGGTGGGTGTTTTTTTTTTTTTTTTCAGTCTATAATAATCGCGTACTAGAGGCTCGAATTCGGCAGGTTAATAAAACTTGGGTTGAAGCATTTTTATTGATAGACATGTTAGCGGATGTGCTGGTTTTAGTGGCATTTTACACAAATTATATTTACAAGCTAAATGAAATACCGAGGTGAAAAGTGGGAGGGGAGAGAGACTTTATCCCTTAACTGTCATGTTGCGCTATGATTCATTTTTCAATAATTTTCAGTACCCATTAGTAATGAGTAATATGTATCAGAGAGGAACCCCCTATCACGATCAAATATGAAGTAATTTAGCGCTGCGGTCACCCTTTCTTAATTTTCAAGCGTTGCGATAGCAGATGTTGGCATGTGCTCTAAAAAGCGTCAGTGGCTGTTCCAAACCAATATATTGCCTGTTATAGAACCTGCTACAAAAGGTCAAATGCCACTCTCTTCACTGGAACGAACAAAAAAGTAACGGAAGTAATTTTGGAGTTTTGAGTCGTCGCTGAAGGCGCGACTTGCACTGCTCTTTTGTAAATTTCTAATTTTTCTTTTTTTTTTTTTTAGCCGCTTTGTTAGCGCGCGTGGACAGACGCTGACACGCTGAGACACATGCATCGTGGATGTTAGGGGAGTCAACAGCGCATTCTTTTGTGGTCGCATCTGAGGCAACCCGCCCCAAACAGCAAACCCGCTGAAGCTCGTCCAGAGTCGCCGTAAAGTGGCATACTCATTCCCAACTTCCTCGAACATCAACGCCTTACGGATGTCCGACAACAACTGAACAACAACAAGCGTCGCAATGTTCCCCGGGAATGAATTAGATGACACTCAAAACATATCAATAGACAGTAATTAATCTTTTGGACGCGTATAGAATCTGCATTTTATGGCTCAACAGTTTATTTTAACGGGATCCTACGCGGGACGCAGTTTCGTCTGCTTACTGAGCTGGGGTCGCGATGACGTCAGAACGACGCGGAGCTCTGATTGGCTCCGATTTGAAGGACAGTGGGTAGACCTCGAGCAACGCTACTAGATTACCTCAGTTGTAAAACTCCCGCGGAAGGGGGCACCCCCCTCACTGACTTCAGTCCACCGATGATGATGATAATGGTTTGCGGCTGTTCCCTTTTGAATCGGGCGGTCCCGTAGAGTTTGGGACCTAGCCAGTGGGGATTCGGTTATCCCCGTTGGTGAACTAGCATCCACCAGTTCTCTAATCTTCGCTTCGTGGCTTCCACCTGCTCACGCCACCCTCCGTTGGTTCCCGGTGTAGCGTCGGCGTTGTCGTTGCCGTTAGTCCCACCCGCAGAGTCTGCCACTGAGCTGGAAGCAGACCCAAAGCCGAGTGCCGCTGCCAGTGCGAGCTCCCGGGTTGCCTGTCTACACTCCGCCGCAGTTGCGTCGGAACAGGGGGGCTGGGGGGGCGACCGCCCCCCCCCCCCCTCCCCAGAGATTTTTTAGTAATGGCGGCTCGCGAGCTCGATATTTCGCAAATTTCTCAGAGTGCGATTTTTAAGATATTTCGCGGGCATGAATTTCTCGCATTACGAGTGGAATGATGATGTTCATCATCATGGGATTAGTTATTCGAGGGCTCAATTATTATGGTTATTTTAAAACCAGAAATAAGCAGGAGCTTCTCTATTTCTGAAGCCGAATAAAGCAGTCGATACGCGCCTACGCTGCTCGAAGCGCATATGATTTCGCAGTTCGAGGCTGCAGTAATCCCCGGGGCGTCGTGCCGTGCGGGTACCGCCGAGGACTTGGACGAAGATGGTCGAGTATACGACCCGCAGACCTACATGACTACGCCGCATCCTGGAACACCTCGGTTCCGAAGGAGTCAAACACCAGGATGTCCTTTCAGATAGGCCGCGGTCACAGAACTGAACTTTTTAAGGCATACAAACAACGCATAAATACAAGACGGGCTGCAACGCCCTCATTTGTCATGTCAGTCAATCATCATTCCGATCTTTTGACTATCTGCCAGATCGGTGGTGCCATCTCTGGGCACAAATATAAAAGTCTAAAAACAACAGGCATTCGTTGATTGTTTCTTGAAGTTTCTAAGGTTTGTAAGCATGCCCCCTCCCCTTAAAAGAACGTCCTTGGACAAGTGGTTGCAGGACAATGCCGCGAAGAAAAGAAAACACACTCGGAATTCTTCGACAGCAGTGCCATGTGACACTGAGTGCAGTGTGGGTGACAAGGACACGAGTACTGCACATTCACCGGGATCACGGACAGACGTGGAGGGATCCCAAGCCCCACAATCGTCTCGAATAGGTTCTGTTGCGAGCATCGTAACGAAGTTTCATGCAGCCAGCGACTATCGGTTTCCTAAGAACGCTCAAGGGAGAGCCTGTTTGCCTGAAATGTTCGAGAAGTTCAGATGGCTTCACTATAACTGCGATAGTGACAGTGTGTTATGCTATGAATGTGTTGCATAGTGCGCTATGAAATGCGAAAACAGTGTTCGTAGTGCCGAGGTGACTTTCATTTCATCCGGCTTCAGAAACTGGAAGAAGGCCACTGAGAAGTTTAGAACTCATGAAAAAAGTTAATGCCACAGCCGGTCCGTGGATAGCTTGTTGCAGAGACTGCAGAAAGCACCAGTGATCAAGCTTCTCAGTGAGCAGAGCCTGAAGGAGCAGAATGAGGCGCGAACGGCACTCCGTGTTGTCTTCACTTCCATCAGATACCTTGCACGCTCGGGTCAAGCCCTGCGCGGACATTCGTATGAAGATGGAAACCTGCGGCTTCTACTCGACGAAAGATCTCAAGACGTCCCGGCCTTGGAGATGTGGATGAAAAGGCGGGACAAGTGGCTGAGCGCTGACGTTCAAAACGAAGTCATTGAAATCATGTCTCACGAGCTGCTGCGGGGCATCATACAGGAGGTAAAGCATTCAACCTTCTTCAGCATCATGGCCGACGGCACGACGGACCTTTCATCCTCTGAGCAGTTCTCGCTGTGCATCAGGTGCGTGGATTCAGACACTTTGCATGTAAAGAGGATTTCTGTTGGCTTGTACAACCCGAGTGATACCACAGCCGCAACTCTTTTTGCTGTGATCAAAGACATGATCATGCGGTTGGGTCTAGACTTTCAGAACCTTCGTGGACAGTGCTTTGATGGTGCTGCAAATATGTCAGGAAGGTTAAATGGGGTACAGAAAAAAGTGACCGAAGTGCAGCAAAAAACTGTGTACGTTCATTGCAGCAACCACGCCTTAGATCTTGTTCTGCAGAAAGTTGGACGAGGCTGCGAGCTGATTCGCGACGCGCTTGCCATCGCTAAGGACGTTTCGGGATTCATAATGGAGTCAGCGAAGCGAACGAAAGCATATAAGAATGTTGTGGTATCTCCTGGCCACGAGAGCGAAGAAGGTACCAGCGCCAGTGGAAAAGTATCCAAGCTGCTTCCCCTGTGCCCCACCCGATGGGTTGTTCGAGTAAAAGCGATGATGCGCTTCGTCGAGAACTACGAAAGGGTGCAACTAACCCTGAAAGGCATTTTGAATGACAACGGTATCCGCGAGACGACAAGAAGGCAGCAATACACGGCTTCTTGGAGAAAATGCAAAAGTTCGAGACCGTATTTGGTCTCAACTGCGCCATCACAATATTTGGACCATGCGAAGAACTTGCAACATCGCTGCATAAGCCGGTTACTTCTGTGGGAGGAGCGCTGAGGGCGACGGAGGTCCTGGAAGCACACTTGACAAGGCAAAGAAAGGAGAGTGGTTTCCAAGAAGTGTACGAACGTACAGAGGGGGCAGCAAAGAAGCATAAGCTAAAGGCCCCTTCAAACAAGACCATGTGATGCGGTCCTCCAAGAAGGTTCGAACACAGCAGCGAGCCCTGTCAACCAGCGTTTCTAGACGCGGAGACAGGCCTTCGGAAGCAGTTCTACGAAGCGTTAGATTGTGTTCGCGCCGAGCTTGCAAGACGATTAAAGCAACCAGGCATGCAAAGTCTCGCACAACTAGAGCAAATAATTTTGTGCGTTATTCAAGAGAAGCCACAAACTGCAGAAGGACTTGAAAGGAAGTTAGGATCCCACGCTACTGATTTTTACCTGGAAAGCCTTTCATGGCAGCTGAATATGTTTCCCTCGCTCTCAAGCGGTCAGATCGGCTCCGTACCCGAGTTGTGCCGTGCTCTGGGCAGACGAGTCCCAGAGGTCAAGAGGATGATGACTGAGGTGATGCGCCTTACGGCACTTATAATGACAGTGCCAGCGGCGCGGCATCAGCTGAACGAAGTTTCAGCGCACTTCGGCGTATCAAGAATTACCTCAGAGGTACCATGTCACAAAAGCGACTGACTCAGGTGATGCTGCTGCACGTAAATAGTGAGCGAGCAGCAAAACTTGATCTGAACTCTATCATCAGAGAGTTCGTGTCGAGGACGGCTGAACGACGAACCGTTTTCGGGCACTAGTGATCTCTTTTTTATTTCACGCTGTTTGAAGACGTCAACATGGGAGAAAAACAAGATCACCACATTCCAAAAGAGGAAGGACATATATTCGTTCTAAATAAACGTTTGTGAGCGTTTAGATTTTATATATCCATATTGTTCTAGATGCTTCATCCCCCCCCCCCACCCCAATTCCGTTGCCCCCCCCCCCCCCCCCCCCACCTCAGAAATACTTCCGACGCCACTGCTCCGCCGGTTGAACTGGTTGCAGACCGGTGCACGACAGCACATGGTGTTCCACTATCTCATCCGCCAGACCACTCACACCCGACATGCTGAAGATTCCAGCGTCTGGTCGAAGCGACGGCGATACACCTGCGTTCGCAGCCCTCCTGCGCGTGACTCAAAGAGGAGCCGGCTGCCCAGGCTGTTGTCGTATAGTCGATTTGCTGCCGAAATTTCTTTCTTATATGAATGGTACATATGTAGCGTCAACTTAGACTTTGCCGTTTCTGCCCACGGAGCTGCCTCCTCCTCTCTCACCCTGTTTCGTATCTCCAGGTCCCACTTTCTACTTGATGTAATAGTTACAGGGGTTGAAAAGAAGCCGTATTTCTTCTCTAACTGATACAGCCGCTTCCTCCAGCCAGTCTGCACTCCCGTGAGATAAGTGTAGGCGAAGAGTCTCTTCGCTTACCGGCCGTGGTCCATGAGACGGAGACGGCTCTCGTAGGTTATCTCACTGGTCGCCTCTCTGGCCTCAAAAGACGACTACCCAAGGTCTCCCTAGACTGCTTTGGTGGCCACCATTCTGTGACAGCCCAGAGCCTGCCTCCCGACCTCTCGTTGGCGACGTTCCATGACTTCCCGCACTGTGCCAGGGACACAAAGAACCCCGTTGGCGAAGGTTAATCCGGGCACCACAACCGCCTTCCAGAGTTCGCGAGTCACCAGAGAACGATTGCAACTCCAAAGTTTACGTTTTCGGAGTACATTCGTACCTCGCACGGCTGCCTGTCGAAAGTGGGCATAATGCTCGGACAATTACTCCGGCTTATTGGTCAGTACAAGTCCCAGGTATTTGTACGACTCCTGCACCTGTGCTTGCTCGCCGTTCAGCACCAGACTGTCTAATTTAGCTTCTTCGGACCCGGCGGCCACTCAGGGAACTGCACGTTACTTCTATTTTGGCTTTAATCGGCCATTTTGGTGCCAAAACCGATACAGCGGAAGAGGTTACAGGGGTGCCACCCCCTCTCCCCAGCGGACGCGCCGGGAACTACTACTGAAGTTAAAATGCACCTAGGTCGGGACGCGCTACCTGAAAGCACCGCTGAGGCATGGTTGTATAAAAACAATATTAATTGTGCCGCAAAACCTTGCAAACTAAAGATTATACAAACATCACGCACCCTTCATTTTTTACTAAACTCCAAAAAATTTTATACAAAAAGAGTCTTTTCCGTTTGTTTTTACACAAAAACATGCTTTCTAAAAGCTCAATGTGACCACAGTACAGACAAATGATAAAGAGTGGCGCTGTTGTCGTATTTAGCTCGGTCTCGGTGGACGCCAGCGGCCCAGGTTTCGACGGTGAGTTTCCCAACTGAGTTCTTTAGTAACGTTGGTGTCAGACCTTGAACGCCATCTAGACGCTGCGCTTCGAAACGTAGGTATTCCATAGAATACACTCCAGTTACCAGAACAGCCATCCGGCGCGTCGAGCGACGGGAGGCGAGTCGTGGTGAGTGAGGGGGGGGGGGGGGGGGGGGGTACTGCTTGTGCAAGCAGCCTCTATGAGCAGTTCCGTAACTGACCTAATCTAATAATGATAATAATAATAATAATGTTTATTTAATGTGCCCAAAAACAACCACGCAGGTCTTCACACTTGAGCACACAAGATAAAAAGAAGAAACTCAGCAGGCGCACCGCTTCAAATGTACGAATTAGCATGACTAAAAATAGGTTGCACACTTCATACAAAATGTAATACAGTTTCAACTTTCAACTACACTTGCCAAGTTCCGGCAAAAAACTGAGACATGTGAAAATGTCTAAGCTAGAGGATGCGATTCTATTGAATGAAATCTGCATACGGGGCAGTGATGAGAGTTTAGACATGAATCCAACGTAAAAGACAGTAAAATTTCTGGTAACGCGACAAGGGACATGAAAATCGACAGAATTCAGAAGTAGGTTAGCATATCAGTCCATCCATTTACTAGCGAGGAGAAACGAGAGCTATCACTCAAACTGATTCAAATGAAAGACATGCTTCGCAACGAAGAGCTCAAGGATCACTTCAGCAACAACAGAATTCACTGGAATTTTATTGCGAAGCGTGTCCAATGGTGGGGCGGGTTCCATGAGCGTTTTGTGCGGTCAGTCAAGACATCACTGAAAAAGGTCATCGGCCGAAGACTCTTGATCGAGGAAGAACTTGGAACCCTGCTTGGCGAGATAGAGGCTGTCATTAATTCGAGACCACAGACTCTCACCTACAACGAAAGTCAAGAGCCTCAACCCTTGTCCCCATCATGCTTTCTTGTTAGCAAGCGACTGACGTTGTTACCTCACTCGACAGTTCCGAACCTAAAGTACGTTGAAGCTGAAACGCCACGGAAGCTCTGGAAACACAGACAAGAAGTCATGAAGAGCTTTTAACAACGTTGGTCGAGAGGGTACCTGACAGAACTACAGTGAAGCGGCCTGTACAGCTGACTGCTGGTATCTTCGGGGTGTGAAAAAATAGACTAAATGCGTTTTCCGGGGGGTGGATGTGGAAATTATTCAGAGCGCGCGAGGACATCGTAAATAGGGAGCAAGCACGCGACCAAAGCAATGTATCTGCAACGAAGTCGGCCGTTTGGTCGCGAGCTGTGCACTACAAGGAGAAGATGAAATGGCTCCCGAATCACGTTGACAATTCTGTACCCGATGTCGGACAACTAAATTAGTTTGTTTTTATTAAAGCAAAGCATCAACCTCAAACCAAAGAGGATCCGTAATTTTTTGTACAACGCTAATAAATTAAAATTTAAATATTTCGTCAAAAACATTTTTTTTTTTTTTTTACGTGGAATGTCTTAAAAAGTTGGCCATACGTACGTCTTGGTGTCGTCGGTTGCTAGCGTCACGCTGGTTGTGAGACGCTGCAATACGCGCTAGTGATGATGACGACGCAATCTGCGCGGTGCTGCGTCGATCCACTAGATACGACGTTTTGGGGGGTAAAGGCGCTACAGTAAACTCCCAGGCCGATAGAAGCAAGTCCGCTGTTCGTTTAGACGAGACTACATACAGTGCCTGGCACGAGTCTTCGCACGGAGCGTTTAACGTTCCATCCCGCTTATGGATCGAAAGTGGACGCGGCACGCTGTCGGACGTGACGACCCTAGCGGTTGGCCGTAGAAATTATGGCGAAAAAGGTGAGCGGACGCAAGGATCGCTGTCGGCGCGGCGTCCCAATAGACCTTTCCCGAGTAGCGTCCTGCGCACGCGCGAGCACCCGGTACCAAGCGGCAGAAGTCGGCACAAAAAATCGAGGAAATTCGGATGGAGGCTGTGGATCAGCGAGTAGAACACGTAATTGGAGCATATATTGTCTTACAAAAAAAAAAAAGAAAGAAAGTGGAAGGAAGGAAAAACACAACGTTTGGGGGGACGCCACGGATGCCCCTTTCTGAAGTCGCGTTGGGCACGCGGCGCAGCTCAGAGAGCGAAGAAACTGATAGCGTTATCGCTTGGTAGCGCGGGTAGGTCACGTTCTCGATTTTTAGTTCGTACAGCCACCGCTTGGTGCCGTCGGTATGTGGAAAGGTCCATTCGTTTCTTCTTTGGTTTCGGTCGACTGCCTGACTGCAGACCGACTTGCGGCGGAACAGGCGTCTGTCACATCCACCTCCACAAATGGTTCCACCGCCAGGATAGCAACAGGCAAAAGCGTGACGCTTTTAGGACGTCGTCGGGAGGAAATCGAGGGATGTACAGGTCTCACGTTTTGAGCAGCACCCCTGGCGAGTAAAATCGGTCATTTTTGGGTCGCCTTTCTGTCCCGCGTCACGTTGCGTCCTTGCAAACGCTCTGTCAGTGCCCGTGGACAGACGCTGAGGGACGCTGACAGACGGCAGTTTATGCCCGTGCATGGTGGGACGCTGGGACGCCGCTTCACGTCAGCATTAAACAGTTGCGTATCGCGAACGCTATACTTCATTTCAGCTTAAGTCCAGATACAGCCGAGGCTACGACCCCGAGCATGTGGCCCTGAACAATGCTTGCACTGCACGAGCGTGCGTGCTTGGCAGGGACGCTGAAAGCCCGGTGCTGGCGCTTGTAGCATCGGGTGCGTCTGTACTCAAGCTGAAACGAAGTATAGCAGAGGCGCCTCCTTTCTGGTCGCAGCTTGTGGACGCTATGTGCCGAGAAAGTGAGGAAGAGGGGGAGACGAGATCGCGCTGAGACGTCAGAACGCCGAGCTCTGGTTGTTAGGAATAGTGGGTAGGCCTAAAGCTAGCCTCCTTTCTCTCCACATCACTCGTCGAACGCATCCGAATGCGAAAGTCGGACGCCGGCGATCCGCGTTTATAACGCGTTCGACGAATGCAGTGTGTACAAAGCCAGCTAGCTTTAGATCCACGTACTAATCATTCCAACCAGAGCTCGGCGTTCTGACGTTCCCGTGCGCTTTGATCTAATTCTCCGTCAGTTTGTCGGCGCATAGGGCTCTTTGGCAGAGAGAAACGCCCTTAGAGACGCACACCAGTCGGAGACGCGCTCCAGGCACCTACGCGGTCGTTGGCGTCTAAAATGGCAAAATTATCCGTGTGGGGCAATACATCGTTATGCTCTCGCCATGACGTTAAAAGCTTTTCAAGTTTGCAACGTAAATGACACTTGCTCTATTCGTCGCCTCGCCTTTTTTCCGAGTAGGAATGTTTTACTCTATTGTCGTCGCCCACACCCTAACCTGGAGCCACGTAGTTGGGACGGAGAGTAATAAAGAAAAAAAGTCTATAGGCGCACCCATCAAGTTTGAACATATACTCTTTGCTTTAGTGATTGAATTAACGGGTATTCGTAAAAAAAGAATGCTTGCAGAGCTTTATCTTTTACTTCTCTCGTATAC